CACAGGGCTTCGCGCGCGCGGAATTTGAACTCGCGGGCACTGGGCGCTGGCTGACGGCACTCGCGGGCTAGCAGGGCTTCGCGGGCGCGGAGTGGAGTGTCGCGGGCACTGGGCGATCCTGGGGGAACTCACGAGCACCGTGGCCTTCGCAGGCGCGGGGTTCAGTCTCACGAGCAAGGCTGTTCGCAGGCGCGGGCAGCCACTCGCGGGCGTGGAGTCGAGATGCTGGGAATGGTCCCGGTGACCTTTTGATGCTCAATTCGCTCTAACTTCTCGCACGCTTCTCCGATTGACTCGAAACTTTGACCCACGCTTCTCAAATCTTCTTCTCCTCGTCTTGAGATGTGTAAATGGGTGACACCACGCAATTAATAAATATTCTCGGAACGGCACAAAAATGGTTCGCATGGCTAGGATATGGTTCAGACGTCTCGGAAATATCTCGAAAATGGCTCGTTTCCCCAAGCATAGTAATGATGGACCTATTCAACACCAAAAAGACAAGAAAAGTACGCTGAACCACAAAAACACAATACGAGAGAAAAAATACACGAAACACGATAAAAAGGCCCGGTCGACACTAAAATGAAGCCAAAAACACTAAACTAAAGCACATAAAACACACGAAAATAAGCACAAAAACACAATAAACACATATCAATTGCTTGGACAGGCATACCTTCACGTCTAATAACTTCTTCACATTATTTCCAATGAGATGAATGTCGTCTACGTATGGCACGAGAAACACTACAATATTTTTGCCACTTTTTTTGTACACACAGTGCTTATCCAGAAATTGAGTAAATCTGACAACCTCGTCAAAATGGATGTTCCAAGACCGTGAAGCTTGCTTCAGTCCATAAATAGACTGATTAAGCTTGCAGACCAGATGCTCTTGGCCTTTTGCAATGAAGCCCTCTTGTTGCCGCATGTAGATGTCCTCATCCAGATTCCCGTTATGGAAAGATTTATTGGCATCTATTTGCCAAATATCATAATCCATATGAGTGGCTACAACCAAGAAAATCTTGATAGATTTGAGCATTGCTACCGGGGAAAAGATTTTCTCATAATTGATACCTTATTTCTGAGTGTACCCCATCGCTACAAGCCTAGCTTTGAAGGTCTCGACCTTCCCATCTAATCCCCTCTTTTCTCTTATAGACCCACTTACATCCAATGGCACGAATGCCACTAGGTGGCTTTACAATATCCCAGACCTGATTGAAGTCCATTGACTCCATCTTAGTCTCCATCGCAGTTTTTCTAGACTTTGCGTCCCGATCTTGGAGTGCCTCATCATAGGTCCATAGGTCGATATCAAGTCCATCTGGGACGGTCTCAGAAGAATCTCCCAGAAACATGAATCGTTCGGGCTTCCTGACAATCCTCCCACCACGACGAGGTACTATCGGTACAGGTACATCGTCGGTGACACGTGTTGCCATATTTGTGGTGTATCATCTTGCGCACATGGTATTGAAGTATAAATCCCCTTTATTTCCTCTAAGAAACGTCTACTACTAGGCACGTGATACATTATATAGTCTTTTTCTAGGAATCGAGCATTCATACTAATGATCACTCTCAGGTTCTCGGGACTATAAAACAGACCACCCTTTGTTTCCTTGGAATTATCCACAAATAGCCTAACTTCTGAACGTGGTTCCAACTTATCTGGGTTTTTTTTGTTAGTTTTTATTCAACCTTTTTCAATCACTAGGTCTTCTCAATCAGGTTTGTCTGCTATTTATAAAAGCCCTTTTATTGTTATTGATCTTATGCAGAACAACAATTAACAACAATGTTCAATGCACAAATGTTAGGGTTTCAATAATGAAAAGTTAATTTACAACACAACCAAAATTAGACATAGTTTTTTAGACCATAAAACTTACTTTATTAAAATAAATCCTCACTAGTACAACATCCGTGTATTACACGGGTGCTTGTTAAAAAATTATTTTTAAATTTTAAAATTAATGAGAAAAATTATTTTAAACTTTATTTATTTTTTTACAAAAAAATATATATTATTATATATTTTAGAATGACACTTGTTACTTGTGCGACTTACATGTGTTATATTATAGTAAATTTTATAACTTATATCATATAAGTACATGAAATATAAATATATTAATTGATAAATAATTTTATTTTTCTAATTAATATTAAAAAACAATTTTATTATTGTTATAAAGATAAATATAATTTATTTTTTTTATACATACAATATGGATGTTAAATAAAAGCTCATCAAGAGATGATTAATTTGATATATTATATATATAAAACTGATAAAAAATACAAAAGTTATTAACTTTTAAAATATATTTACAATTCAATGGTTATAATAAGAAATGATATTAAGATGCAATTAATACATGTAACATGACCATAAATAATCAACATATTTATGGATAGTCCGAACCTAATTATTTTTAGATTGGAAGTAAATTAAAATCTACTCAAGCCTATACCAAGCATGTAATTTTGCTACATAGGATCCCGAAATATGCGAGTCTGCCACTTAGGCTCAACATGTTTTGGATTAATTTATAGGGAGGATATTAATTAATTAAAAGAAAAAAAAACATAAATTGGGCTCAATTGTGCGTGCACAACCGTAACCCTATAAATAGTAATATATTGAATAAATTATAAAATTTTCTTTTTCAGATTAAAGAGAATTTTTAACAAAATAAAATTTTGTATTGACGTACTTTTTTATAACTTTATTAATTCGTAATTTCAATAATGTTCAATATTTTAGAAATTTATCATATTTGAACTCAAAGTGTTAGGAGCAGACAAAAATGAATCTATTATCTATTACTATATAATATAATAGGGGAATTTACTTGAAATAGTATTGAAATTCCAGCTTAAATTTTCAAACTTACTATTGTTAGTTTTTTTTTTTTTAAATGGCGGCTTAATGAATAGTCGAATTTAAATTTGACAAAAAAAAAATTGTTATTTGAGAGAAATATTGTGTAAACCTTAATTCCTAAAAATATGGATAATGACTCCCTTAAATGCTTTGAGTAATCTGATCAATAATGAGAAAGAATCTTGAAATCTTGCTTCCAAAAAATCCGGTAAATTATTTTCTTAAATATTTTCAGTCAAACGTGTAAATTAGGTTACAAAAATTCGATCAATCATTTAACGAATAAAATGTTTGAAATTTTTTGAATCTTTCCAAAAAAGTGAAACCAACTTAATTGTTAAATATTTTTTTATCCATATTTATCCATCTACAAATCTCATATTTTATGGTCACACCTAAAAATTCGCATTTATTTAACAAAAAATATTAATTTCGGAAATTAATTTTTCTATTTCGGACTCTTCAACTTAATTGATGATTTTTTTGTCCATATTTATCTAACTACAAAATCTTATAAAGTTTAGAACGAATCTCATATTATGTGGATTCTTGGTAGCTATTATTTTGTACACATCCAATGAACAATTGGTTAGGAGAAATATTAGAAAATGAAACAAATCATACTCCCTCTATTTGACAGTGTGTCAGTTTTATATTAAAAAAATCTAACTACAAATTTAACGGGAATCGTTATTTTATGCTTATATAAAAATTTTCTAAATCTGTTATCCGATTTTAATATTTTTGTATATATACTCTCCCTTTTTCTCCTTGCTGGAAGTTATCGGTAATGTTATGGTATTGTTATGTCACATTTTGGTTTCTTTTGCATGACCTTTTTTTCAATGGGAACCAAATATGAGATTTTTTAGGATTTATGATAAGGATAAAACAAGAAAATACATAAATACATCTAAAACGACATTTAAAAAAATCACAAAGACTACAAACTCACACGTCATTTGTTCTCAAATAGAGGGAGAAGATGACAGTAAAGAGTAAATATCATACAAATTAATATTGGAAAAGAAACTAATTCGATAAGATGAAATCACACAACATATTTGCAAATTGATGAGATTCAAATTTGAATGTAAAATCTATGTCACACAACGAATTTGAAGATATTTAATTTTGAATATAAAATGATATGTAATTTTAAGTATAAAATCAAATATGTGATTTATATGAATACAAAATTTAATATACAACAAAGTTAATGAATAGTTTTATATATAACAATTTTATTTTATGTAGATGTACATCAGTATATGTACCAATTTTATTTATCAATACATTGGAGTATCAACTTCTTCGTACACTTTTGTACAGATTGATTCATTTTCGTACTTATCTAACTATCATTTAATTTATGGTATATAATAATTCCATATTATGTCGTTGGTCCAAATAAAATTAAATCAATTAATGATGTTGAATCTAACACAGAAATAATACGACTTTACACTTTTCAAAATATGTTCGCCATTTTTCATCTCATACCCAAATTACAAATTTTACTGCGAATCTTAAATATCTCATATATATGTTATATATATATATATATATATATATATATATATATATATAAAAGAATGACGATTCATATAATTAACTTTATCATATATCATGTGTTAGGTGTTATTTTAATGTGAATCGTAAATATCTCATATTTACTAGGAATACTCAGCTGTGCGATGCACAGCTGGCCCAGGGAAATATTGTCAATTTTGTAAGTTGTTTCGATATAGTTGGGTAAAACTTTGCCTTTTGCATTAGGGAGATTTTTGTAATGATAACTGTGAAGATCCATGTACATTATCAACAAAAAATACATAAAGTAAAGAAATAGAGTTCATACATAATTAAGCATAAATGATGTATATTTATGCATGACATCTTCTTCAATTTACCCAAATACAACTTACAAAATAAAAGCATAAGCTTATGATTAGTCATTTTATATTCACCTATCCAAAATGTAGCAATCATTCATCTAGTGAGTTAATACATCTAGTGAGTTCAAAAGGCAGCATCCACAATAACTACAAGATTTGGTATTTAAAGAGCAAAAGTCGAACACCTTCTAAATGAACCATTAGTCTTGGTCTTTCAGTTTCTTAGCTGGACTGGATTGGTGTTGTTGAGTTGGGTTTGTTGCATCTTTATTAACAATCTTTGCCCTGGTACTTTCTTCTGATTGCATGGTCTGGGAAAGACTGACTTGTTCTTCCTCTTGTGCTGCGAAAACTAATTGGCGTTTGGCTGAACTTGATACAAGTTTGGTGGTTGTTTATGTTGTTGGTTTAAGAGTTGACAAATCAATTGATTCAAGCATAACTTTGCAGTTGGTGTAAATAAGTGCTCATCCATGGAAGTTAATATTTTCCTGCATGGTAAAATGTAGATGCATGTTAAATTGTATGACAAAAGAATAGAGGTAAATATGTACAAATGTAGAAAGGAGTGAGAATGTAATTACCTTTCCTTTGACTGGTGTGCGAGATACAATTATCTTCTTGATTTCCTTTTCCGTGTATATTTTAACAACACTATACCTGTCAGCAGTGATGATGGAATATGTTGCCTCGTAATGTCGGACGAAACAAGTAATTGGGTTCTTGTAAAAGACGGCAACAATCTCAGGAATAATTTTTTGTTCTGTAATGTAATGTGTTGTGTTAAAAACGTTGAGAAAAGGTATGAAAATATGGGCAGAGAGTGTTTTATGAGTGGAATGATGGAGAATACCTCAGCCTCTGCTATGCTCATTTCTTCCCATGTAAATGGCAATAGTTGCTCTGCTTCTATACCTGTAATCATGGCTTCAACTACTACTGTTTCATCTTTTATAGTGATAACAAAGCGACACCTGGATAGTTGAGTTTTTTTTTTTTTGACTTGTTATAATGATAAAGAAAAAGAAAAAATGGAGAGTGTTTGTAAATGATTATCTAACCTGGCAACAACCTTGCTATCCTCTCCGCACAATGTACAATTTATATCCCAGTTTATTGGTGCACCTATCTCTTTCTGGCAATTGAACCAAAGTGATTTTTTATTTATGGAAAGAGATGCAACACCACGAACCCATGCATATTTGTTCTGAAATTTAATAGACAAAGGCAAAAGGACGTCTTCATCTTACCTACAGTTTTTTAATTTAAGTCGAAGTATGTAGTAGATTAAATACTCACCACTTTTAAAGTGGCCAATGCCTCTTGGATTGAGATAATATCTTTTTCATTTGGAGGTGGTAGGACAACCAAAGGATCTTTAAATGCCTCTTTTGTCACAAATGAGTTATGGACATCTTTTTGGTCAACATACCTATATGTTACGTTTACGTTAATATTCAGCATATGATAATTTTTTTTTAAAAAAAAAATAGCATATTATTCATACCATTGCTTAAGTGTTGCAGCTTCTCTCATTGGTGGATTTATGAGAATAGCACTTGGTAATCTAGTAGTGAGAGAGAGGTCTGACCAATTTTTTAAATCGTTTGAGTTAATATGTTGTGAGAGAGAATGGTTATCTTCTACTTTATATGTTAATGATACTTCCATTAGCAACTGATGCGGCAAATTGGGCACCCTCATTGGACTCAAACTCGTCCCACAAAGTTGAGATCCTTGGAATTTTTCTGCAATTAACAATCAAGCATGTACGATAATATTGAAGCAGTTGATTATATTTAGCATTTAATATAAATTTACTCACTCTTCATTTACAATCACCAAATCTCGAGTTTTGGATCCTTGAGTTTTCTTCACTGGAAAAACATGTAGAACTATACCAAGAACATTTGCATTTGAATTAATAAAATGCATTCATATGTTGCAGATGGTTAACCTTTTTTGTGGCAACAATAATATGGTTGTTATATGAAGTACATTGGTATACAAATGATTTTTAAAAAATTATTAGTAGTTTACTTACTTTGTAGATTCTCTGTCTCTGCAAATCGGAAGAGGTTTTTGTATTTTTGGATTTCAATGTGACAAGAAAACTGAGGAGGTAGAGGCTCTTTAACTTCCTCGATTAAATGACGTTTTGTAAGTGTCCAGCTAAAGGGGTAATCGCCAACCAAATATTTAGGGTCTGCTTCTTTCACCTCAACGTTTGACACATAGTATCTCTTATAAAGTAACAACTTCTTTTTCTCTTCCAATGTAGGAATATCATTACCTTAAACAAGTGCAGTAACCTTTGTTCCCTAAATATATATGAGCAAAACCATAATATATTACACGTAAAGTTTGTTGTAAGTGTAAGTATAACTTTTGTTGCATGTAATGTGTTTATTTATATGTAAATAGAAAAGAACATGGTTAAAATAATTGAATTGCTTTTTGTTGATTTATTTAGATGGCACACATACCTCTGAATCGGTAAGCAGATATCTACGAAATTTGGTGTTCTTTGGTGGGCGGCTAGTCAACTCATTGGTTCTCTCCACTACTTGTATCAACGCTGTCCAGTCTCTGCTTTCTGTATTGATCTGTTGAATTTGTAGAAACTTTCTCGACATGATGGCCTGCAAACAATAAATTCACTTTAATAGGTTGGCAAATTTTCTATGCAAAGAATAACTAACAAAATGAGAGAACAATCAGATGCACATAATTATTATTACTTTCAATAACTTTTGATTCCTGCAATACTTCTTTGTACACTATGTTTCTTGTTCGGTTGATGCTAGCACCATCAAAAAAGGACGGTTTTATCAATAACTTTACATTTGATGATGTTCGAGCACGTGAAAGGGCCACGCAAAGCTGTCCATGAGAGAAGACAGGCTCTTTTAAGTAAATTCCCACAAAATCTAATGTTTGTCCTTGAGCTTTGTTAATAGTCATTGCAAATGACAACCAAACAGGAAATTTAGTTCTTGTGTAAGGAACTGGATATTGGTCATCTTTTGGTGGTCTAAGCGGTATTCTATGTATAAAAACATGTTTTCCTGCGAAATCACCAACTACTATCTCTGCATGTATTACATTTCTCGTGAGGTTTCTGCAAATTAACCTAGTCCCGTTACATAATCCTTCAGTTGGCTCCGAATTTCGAAGCAAAATTATGGGTGCATTTATTTTTAAAAGCAGTCTATGAGGTGGAAGGCCATTTGGAGTGAGCGAAATTATTATATCCTCAAATTGACCTCTCTGAGAAGGATTAACAGCTTCATCAAAGCTTAGATATTCAAATAGCTCTCCAGGAAATCTATCTATTAGCAAATTGTTTATCTCATCAACAAAATTATTTTTGGTTGACAAAATTGCTCTATTTGGGCTATACGATGCAGAACCATTAAGCGTAATATTGGGATAAACAATATTAATAAGGTCATCCAATTCAGATAATGGTTGATTGTTATAATTAAGTGTTAAAGAATTGGTATTTGCATGACATCATTATCATCAACTGGTTCATCACCATCACCAACTCGAAAAAAAAATCTAGTGAACATAGGGTCTAAACGTGCACGCATGTTTTCTGTTAATTCAAGTTTCTAAAAAAGCAGCCACAATTTAGATTTCACTAAGGAAGCCTCAATTGTTTGAATTCTATTTTCTTTGCGTACTACTAGCAAAATTTGTCTAAAATCACCCCTGAAAACAACTACTTTACCACCGATTCATCTGAATCTAATACATCTTTTAACAATTTGTTTAATGATTCAATGGCAGTTTTTTTTACCATAGTTGCTTCATCTCAAATTATTAATTTGCATTCTCTTAGTAAAATACCCAGACTGCTTTGTTTACTAACCCTACAACCATTTTGTTCCGAAAGTTCAATAGGAATTTTAATTCTAGAATGTGTTGTTCTACCATCGGGTAAAAGTGATGCAGCAATGCCTGACGTTGCGGTTGCCAGTGCCATAAAACCTTTTGATCTTACAACTGCTAACAATGCCTATATAAAAAAGATTTTCTCGTTCCCCCAGGTCCATCAATGAAAAAAGCTCCTGGTTTATTTTCAAAAATACGATTATGTATGATTTCAAAAGCTTGTCTTTACTTTTCATTTAACATATTTATTGTATTAATATCCTCTTGAGAAACAAAAATATTTTTCTCAGAAGTAAGCCCTCTCGTATCTCGACAATTTTCGAAAAATAAAAATTCTGGTGGCTCAAGACCAAAATCTTTAATGTTTTTGCCCATAGTTGCTAAAAAATCAGCTATTTGGCGCAAAACCATTCTACGTATTTGAATAGCATTACCTGCCTTTGCTCCATAGTAATCTTCTGACATTTTTTATTCATACTTATGCCATAGATCTCTAGGATTACTTGGGCAACAAAATGCTAAGAGATTAGCAAAAAGTCTATGCAGTTCATATAGCATTTTAAATTCAGATGCTTCTCTTAAACATAAATCTTGACTATCATTGTCTTCTAAATAACCTCTCATTAATGCAGCTTCTCTAAAAGTGGTTGCTTTTTGACCTTTATATGTTTTTAAGTCACTAAGGACTTAGGACAACGCACATGTAACAAAAGAGTTCTTAAATAGTATCTCTCCCCTTCAGCTGGATGAGCTGTAACTATTCTACCAACAGTTTCTCGTTGTTTCCTTCTTCTCCAACATTTCTCTTTTGACATCCAAACAAAATATTCAGGGAATTAAAAGTACGAGGTTTAATTTCTGTGCTTCCTCATCAGTTCTATTCATAAAGAAAAACTCTGCTAACATTGTTTTATGTTTTTTAGGATTCTTTACTATATTTCTTAGCTTATCCTTCTTATTAAAATTAACGAAATGTTGATTTTCCAAATGAAGTTGCAAATTAGTTACAGCTGGTTTTATTTCACCTATAGAAAAACTAAAAGTTCGCCAAGCTGCCTCAGGCGTCGAAACCCAATGTGCCATTCTAAATTGTTCTATTTCATCAATCACATTTTCTGAATTAGTTGCATTTACATGAAAAGCTATTCTATCATGTCCTTTACACACATATTTATATATATATATATATACTTCAAAACACGTATTGTAGAACAAATCTCAACATTTATATGGCAGTTAAATTTGGTAATTAAATAAGGATTATAAGGAACAACCCATCTATTATCTAAATTGTGTCCCCTAACTTTCACCCTCTTACCATTATCATGTCTCTGGTAAATTGGAAATGCGTTAGCTACCTATTTTGTTGGCTCACAAAATTGCTTAGGATAAGAAAATCAACATTTTCCTTTATTTGTCATGCATGGACATGTTTTATCCAATTCTCCACAGGGACCATGGATCATGTGTTTTTTCTTAACAATGCTAAATAAGTAAGGATTAACATTCTTGTCTGGTATTTCAGCACACACTATTTTATCATATTATTCGGGCCTATACATTTTAGTTTCTGATTGCAAAATTAAAAGAAAATGAGCATGGGGCAAACCTCTTTTTTGAAATTCAATAACATACTTATATGCAGATACTTTACCAAAAATGTGTTTCTTTAGCAATTCATCTTTTAACAAATCTAACTTCGCATTAAATACTCTTGCAGTTAAATCCGGTCTGTTTTGCACTTCTTTATTTTCAGTTAAAAATTGTCTTATCTCTGGCCAATTTGAATTGCATGTAATAGTCATAAATATGTCAGGCTTCCCAAATTTTTGGACCAAAGTGAGTGCATCTATATATCTATTTTTCATATATCTAGGTCCACCTATGAAACTAGCTGGTAAATATGCTCTTTGACCAATTTTGGAACCTTCAATTTCTCCAGAAATTAATGCATCTTCTATACCTTGCATATATTCTTGTCTTATTTCTTGTTGCAATCTATGAAAATAGTCTCTGTGGTTCAAGTTTAACATACATGTCAACAATGTATTGCTGAAGCAATCTACCAGACATGAGCAAAATTGTCTCTAAATCTCTCATTTGCAATTTATAAGCACAATATTCTCTAACTGAAACAAATTCAACCTGGTTGGAAGATGCACAAAGAGCTATCACACCAAGATGAAGGAAAAAATTAATTAGCATTTACCCAGAACATATAATGTGACAAAAACTGGAATTTAGATAAACAAAGCATATTCACTGACCCTCTTGCTCTCTATTTAGCAATTCGTAACACTATCAACGCAGTCTGCTGAGACTGATTGATTGGCACATAAAGAGTTAGTATAAAGACCATGATAACCTTTTTTATTTTTTTTAATACCCTGATGCCAACCGATTTCACCAAAAAGAAATAAAATAGGATATTGTAAAGATCATAACATCCATAATAGTATTGAACGGCATGACAATAGCCTCCATGAGTAGAGACTCTAATATCTCTATTGCTTGTTTCTCTATTTTCCTCACCCTCAACCCACAATGCGGCAACTTGAGAAACATCAGGTTTATTACACACTCTTTGATCAACTCCTGGCATACTTCTCAAAATTATATTATAGTTATCTAAATTTTCCATCTCACTTAGTCTGCGAAATATTTTTGCGTATGCATTATCTTTAAGCAAAGTGATTATTTTTTTAGATAAAGATTCTGTTAACCTTGGGCATTCCTCTAGACGCTTAGCAGTCTGATCATCTGTATCATGAAAATAAAGTTGCAGATGTTTTGAGCTTTCTAAATCCTCTACAAAATGATACATGTGGCCTTGAATTTTAAATGTATAGATCCCTTTGTTACGTCTGCTCAATTTTTTATCATACTATACACACATTGATGTAACTGCAAAATGATTATTAATTGTTCGTATGCATGTTCTAAATAATTTGGCCTCCTCTGTATTTGAAGCAAACAACTCTTTCAAAATATCAGGTGCAGGAGTATCAGGAAGAGAAACTGTACCATTTTTGCAACATACATTTAGAGATTCATGGTGATTTTTTTTTGCACGACAATATATGTATGGTGGCTGAGCAGGCAAAATAGTAGGCTCTAATGGAACTTTTTTCAGTAAACTACTACCATCTTTACAGGTTCGGGATGTGGTTTTAATCATTTTGTTAGAGGAAGATGCATCATTTGACTTATGTCTTTTGGCATGAGTAGGAGTTGTATCCACATGATTAGCTATATAGGAATCTCTATAAGTTGTACTACATTTTTTCAATCTCCAATGTTAATAGCCTCTGTTTTATAGCTCTCTTTCAATACACTACTTTCCATTATTTGAAATAATTAGAGCAACCAAAACATGCAATATAGTATTGCAAAATGAAACCAGGGAAAGTGCAGACAAATTAATTTGGTGAACAATAAAATAATCACCTAAAATAATGATGAAAGCGAAAGAAAGTTTTTATAGATACTGAGGCAAAGGCTAAAAAGAGATGGCCCCGCCTATCTCACAGAGATCTTTGAATAACTCATTTTATGGGGATTCTAGTGTTTTAGCGGCCATGGGCCCCGACTGGATGAAAGGGAAATGATGCAGACAAAATAATTTGGTGAACACTAAAATAATCACCTGAAATAATGATGAAAGCGTTATTGATAGAAAGGAAAACTGGAAAGACCTGAAAAAATTAGAGAAAATACATAACACAATTATGTCTGACACAAATAAGGAATATTATACATGTTACAAAAGATAATGTAACTGAATGAAAAAAGGAAAATGACAACATTAATGAATATATACATATATATATATATATAAATGCGTTCAAATGTTCATGCAGGTAAGATATATGAAAATAAACAGCAAGAAGAAAAATGACTCCTCACAAAGGTAACCCTCACACCTAACTTATTGACGAAGACTAAAAACAATAAGACGAAACATCAACAGAGCAGAACTATTCTAGTATGTTAAATGGAAAAATAGATACCAATTTGTCTAACTTTGAGAAACGAAAGAAGATTACCTGAGGTAGCACCGAAAGCCTTAATTAGAACTGAACGTACGCTGCACATAGCAAGAAAACCATCAATTTTTTTTAACAAAGAAGAAAAATTGTGATCACAAGTTGAACATACTAAGAAAAACAAAAGACCAAACATATGAAGTAAAAAATAAATAAAAGCAGAAAGACAAAAACATAGAAAACTACAACATACATAGTTTAAGTGATGAAGAACAACAAGTCCTAACATAACATATGCTTGTTGATATACACATACACCTACAGACATCATATACAAACATAAAAACCATTTATTTATCTCACAAGCAGCCAAAACAAAATTATACTACTAAGTTTAAAAAATGAATTATAACACATGCAAATAGCAAATTTTTTTCTTAGAAAAATAGGAATAGGAAGAAAACAACCAAATAAAGAAGGTTTAACACATTTTTTCGTCAATATGAAGAAATTTTACTACTATTCTAACCTTACTAAACCGATTGAAGAAAAAAAAAAGTAACAAAAAAGAAGGAGAAGAAATAGAAAAACTCACAGCTTCAGTAACCAGTAAAGGATGATGAGTAAAGAAACCGTAGTAGTGATTGTATTTATTCTCACAAATGTATATTATAATAATATAAAAAATAAGACACTAAACATTTTGGTATTAAAAAAATAAAATAAAATATTACTACATGATGAATGTTGATTATAAACATCAAATCAAGATTCATCTAGATTAAAATCGGTGGCTAAGAATGAATAGAAAAGGAAGATTTTTGTGTGAAAAGGCTGCACGTCTGCAAGGCTATTATGATAGATTTCTAGCATTCTCATGAGAGGGTTAATATGAATAAACTAACAATCTAAGCTTATTTACAATGGGCCTATTCCTTGGCCCAATTGTATTTCGAAAATATTAGTCCACAAAAAGACATAGCCCATGAGAATACCAAACCCAAATGAGGAAACATATAAGCAGATTTAAAAAATGTGTATCTAAAATAATTGAATTTTTTATTTAACATAAACTCCATGTAGTTGCAAACTGGAAGTAGCACTCCACTGTGCAATTGAAATTGTTGAAGCATGTTCATCCTTAATGCATGGACCATTCATAGACTCAGAAATCGTGAAGGACCTCGAATTCCATAACAAAAATTTAGAATTTAATATAAATCGGCAAAAAATTAGGGCATGCACATATAAAGTTTTACCTTTGAATAAGAACATAAGAACCTCAACCAATCCCCCATCCATTCATCAAGGATCACGAAGAAGCGGGATAAGGACTTTCATTACATCGATCGACCAGTACTTCCGAAACAACAGATAATATAATTTAAAAAATTAAAAAATTAAAGCAAATAGCTTTATATTAAAGGAAAAAATGAAAAGAATTACAATAACCAACAGAAATCACAAAAAAACAACGACGAAAATTTATCGATTTTCATGGAAATTAAAGCATGCGACTTGAGAAAAAAAATTATTGTTCGCGTGAAGAGGGGCAAAATGGGCAGGAAAAGCACCTTTCTCAATATGTTGTCACACGTTTCAGATGCGGAAGCGAAAGTGTCACAATAATTCCTCCTTATGGGCTTGAAATAAATAAATTAAAAGTAGAAGCCCACCTTACATACATGCAATAGAGAATTAATGGTTTGTCCCAAATACCTATGCAATAGAGAATTAATGGTCTGGCCTAAATACCTAATCTAAGTGCAAGCCGGATTTACAGATCTTGGATTGGGTCATATTTTTGGAAATTAGACATGGTGAGGGGACTTGTATGCAATTTTTAACTTTTAATATATTTACAATTTAGTACATAGAGCCAATATGTGATATAATGAAAGTTAAATAAATGCACAATACTGGTTGTGAAGATGCACAATAAAAAAATAATAATATTTTTACATAATAATAATAAATAATAATAATAATAATAGAGTTTTGTTGTTATCTAAATAAAATCAAAGAAAACGTCAAAAACTAATAGACATAATCGAGTTTTCAATGTAAGAAATAATAATTGAACCGAAATTTTAAAATTCGAAATGAAAATTTTGGTTTCGACATAATCGGTTTAATTTTTTAGTTAACATAAATAATCGAAATAACCGATATAAATTATATTATTTATTTTAAAAAAATGATTAGTATTTAATATTATTTTTATTATCTTTTAATTAAAAAAATTGTATATATGTAAACGAAATATACGGTGCAATCTAATAATTATTAAGGTGCAATTCGTACATCACTATGGTGCACGGGTTTGGTCTGTATTGTGCAGATTGAACCAACCAATCTCTTGTCCCAAATTAAAATGAAAATGAACATAATTATTTGATTTATTCGGTTCGGTTAATGGAATTATACTATTATATTAAAATTATATTTATGTTAATAATTTTATTTATTATTTTCATATTATTTTTGGCTGAATTTTTTTATTTCAGTCGGTTTCGCTCTATATTGTGCAATCTGATAGTCGTTATAAAGTGCAACGTGTTATTTTCTAAAGTGCAACGTATTGTTTTATAAAGTGCAACGTATTTTAATAAATTCAAATCCCTAATTTGAATTTATTATTGAAATAATTAAAATAATTTATTATTTATATATAAAAATATATTTGATATCTTTTGGTTGAAAATAATATATTATATATGTTAATGTGTTTATTTAACATTTTATATTATTTTTGTTTGAAAATACTCTAAACAAATTCAAAATTCATGTTTTCATGCTATTTGATAAAGTGCAACGTATTATTTTATAAAATGCAACGTGTTGATGTATAAAGTGCACTACCATAATTTTGGTATATTAGCGTGCTTGTGTTTTATGTGGACAACTGATGTGGTGGATGTTAAAATATTATGTAGATACATTTTTAAAATTTATGTTGTATGGTATTTTGGCGGAAATTATTAACGTTAATTGTTGGGTTTGGTGATAAAAAATGTAGCTAGTCATTTTATAAAATGCAACATGTCGTTTTATAAAGTGCAATGTGTCGTGTTATAAAGTGCAATATGTTTTCTTATACAGTGCACCATTTTTTTTAATAAAGTGCACTACTACGTTTGTTATTTACCACTTTATAGTATTTTTGGTTAAGAACATAAATGGAATTAACCTAAATAATTTAATTAATTTATTAATTATATTATAAAATATATCTATTATTTTAAGGAATTTAATCAAATCATTTAGTGCGATTTACATTCTTGGGTTCCCATTAGATAAGATGAATTATTAACAAAATTAGTTATTAACACCCAATCAAAGGAAAGTGTAATTTATTGATGATATACTTGAAGATTAGATGTTTGAATGTTTCAAAGAATATATTGTTTATATATATTTTCATAAATTTCATATTAGACCCAAGGACTAAATTGAACTTTTGTAAAAATATTGAAATTGCAATTGGATCCTTTGAAATTGTCAAATTCTCAAAAAAAAGGCCCCACAATCCAAATTCATTCTTCATCCCGTCACTGGACATTGCACATCGGCCATCTTTCCCGGCGGCATGACGAGGTGGTAGAGAGCGGCAGATTGACGGCGGTCGTTGGCGGCGCTGGTCAATGGCGCTGAAGAGCCGGTCGATCTGCTCTTATTTAGTGAAGCCATGTCCGATCGAAGGATTAATGGCGGATTCCGGCAACTGCGAGCGGCGTCGAGCGGCGGGATAGATGGCGGTCGTGGGCGGCCCTGGTGGATGGCGCTGAGGAGCCGGTCGATCTGCTTAGATCTTGTGAAGCCGTGTCCATTGGATCCTACAGTGGCGGATTTTGGCCGCTTCCAGCGGCAGCGAACGTCGGGTAGCGGCGGAAATCGGCGGGTGGCGTTGATGACCAGCGGTTTCTGTGTATGGGCGGACTATTTGTGAGTGTGTGTGTGTATGTGTGTGTGTGTGTTAATGTGTGTAGATGGCGGCGGTGAGTGCGGCGCTGTGGAGATTCCGGCGGGCGGAGATGGTGGCAGGGCGGCGGCGCCGGTGGTGAAGATGGTGGCTGACTGTGTGTGTGGGTGTGTGTTGGTGTGCGTGCGTATTGGTGTGTGTGGTGTGTGTTGGTGTGTGAGAGTAGTTGGGTTATTTAATATGGAATAGAGGTATGTTGTGTTAATTACTACATTGTCCTTAATGAGTGTACAATTTTGACTTTTTTTAAACCATT